AGCCCCCAGCAATGGTATGTTCACCCCGGTGTACGTACACAGTCTGATCCCTGCCGGTGTGAGGGAGGAAGCCTGTTTTGAGCCCCACATTTGTTTGTAGGTCTCCTCACTGATGACAGAGGCAGAGGCCTCCGTGTCAACCTCCATCCTCATCTGCTTTCCATCTACCTCCACTGTAGCATAGATAGGCTCTGCGCACGGCTCACTCACATTAAACATGTTGTAGGAACAATGCTCTTCTTCCTCCTTTGTGCTCTCTAGGTGGGGCGCTGCTGACTGCGGCTTCGTTGCTGTGAAATTGCCCTGCCCAGTCCGCCCACCCTCTGGCTTGCTCCTAGGACCCCTGCATTTTTTAGCTAAATGTCCCTTTTTGTTGCAATTGTGACAGACAGTATCCTTGAACTTAGTTGTTTGCATAATGGGTTCCTCCACATCTGAAACATTCCACTGCTTTTCCACTTTTTCCTAGCGCCTCTTTTGTCACCTGATGCACTGCACAACTAAATGATTGGTTATGACAACATGCACTAAACCGGAACATACGGTTGTGAACAATAAAAAACAGTAGGATATGTGAATTGAATTGTGACTAGTGCACTTATCATAAGTTGTACATTGATAATCTGTGTCTCCATCCATGCTAACCTTTTTACATTATTTGTGCTCCTTTTTCACAGGCAGTTTTGGCAGATGACCTGTCTCCATAGCTGATAGAAACCGAGAAGGAATATCATCCCCAATGATGCTACTAATATTTGTACTGATGAAGAAGAGGAGGGAAGACATCCATTGTCGCTGAACTGCTTGAAGTGTTCAGTCAAAATTACAGTGCCACTTTTTTACCACTAGTCACATGTTAAATAAGATGTTCTGCAAAAGTAATAACAATACAGAAGTGTTTTTGCTCAATAATGAGGTTCTGCCAATCATATGTTGGAAACCATTATCAAGGAAACCTACAGTAGCTGAACACTGTGTAGATAGTAACCTGTTTGTTAAACAACCGTGATTCTAAGAACAAGAATAACTGTTACCTGTAGGACAATGTCTCTATCACAGGTCACCAAGGGTACAGTAAGGTATAACCTTAATAAAATCATTTGTGATGGTTAATTGTACATGCCTCTCATTTTCCAGTCGACATGAAACAACTTAATATGCAATAAAGTTATACCTATGGGTTGCATAACCAACTCAGTTGCCCTTGTTAGTGTTCTCCCTGAGATTTGAAGGTTGGACAGTTCGATCCCTGGCCAAGTCATACCAGAGCGTCCTATCCGGGGGTGTACTTGTACATCAAGCTGCCTCGCACTACAGAAACAAGAGATAGGCTCCTGCTCCTATGAGCCGTTTTGGCTCGCACAAGCCAAGTCTCGTGCAAAGCTTCCCTCTTACCTACTTTGGCTTGCAACTTTAACAGTATTGATTCAAGGAAAATAAATGGGAGATAAATTCACCTTTCAGCAGGACAATAACCTAAAACACAAGGCCAAATCTACACTGGAGTTGCTTACCAAGAAGACACTGAATGTTCCTGAGTGGCTGAGTTACAGTTTTGACTTAAATCTGCTTGAAAATCTATGGCAAGACTTGAAAATGGTTGTCTAGCAATGACCAACAACCAATTTGACAGAGCTTGAAGAATTTTGAAAATAATAATTGGCAAATATTGTACAATCCAGGTGTGCAAAGCTCTTAGAGACTTACCCAGAAAGACTAACAGCTGTAATAGCTGCTAAATATGATTCTAACATGTATTGACTCAGGGGTGTGAATACTTATGTAAATTCAATATTTCTGTATTTAATTTTCATTAAAATTTCTAAAAACATGTTTTCACTTTGTCATAATGGGGTATTGTGTGTAGATGGGTCAGAGAAAAAAAATATATTTAATCCATTTTGAATTCAGGCTGTAACAACAAAATGTGTAATAAATCAAGGGTTATGAATACTTTCTGAAGGCACTGAATATTTTTATTTTATTTGTTTGACCAGAATGATTTTAGTAGGTTATTTCCATCTACTCATCTCTTAAAATGTGTTGACTTGCCTCTCACCATAGCCAGCTAGCTAGCTAACGTGTCTAACCTAGATAGCTAAATACAGTACATATACTAACCATCATTGCTAGTCGCTTGCAGCAAGCACCATGCCCGGTCTGTCTCCCAGTGTCTCCTCCCGTGAACTCCTTGCTCACCGGCTGTCCAGCATAACAAAGATTATCTGAGTTATTCAGTAGATAGTACAGCTTCACCTCTTCCTCTGTGATCCAGAAATACTTTACGAAATGAAGAGTACAGGTTTTTCTGTCTGAGCATAGCAGGGTCATTCCTACTTTGTGGTGCCTTTTGGACCTCAAAACTTTGAGAAAAAAATATTTTTTTAGGTGCATTTTCCAACCTGTTAGGTGCATAAGGGTGGACATTTGGAAGCCAAATTAGCCACAGCTCTGTGAGTGAGCAAGATTGAGCTAGTATAATGGTCAACACTTTAACAGGATTTTTACAGGGTGGAAATGTATGAGTGGGATATACAGACTAACAACATGGAAAAATAGATAAAACTGATTGTTTATATTTATGTACATTTGCACCATTGTTTTCCCACCAAAGAAATGATTGGAAAGTGATATCAGAGACATAATAATCATGAACAAAACGTTATTGATGAGAGAGAATTTAACTAGGACTATAAAATAATGAAGAAATATTTTAAATATTATATTATTTTAAGGCTTATATTTCTTGTGGAAGTTGATGAATAACACCCGGGGACATGGCAAAAACATCTACATCCACTGAAAAAAAGTGTTCAAAATTATTCCCTTTCAAGATCCATATTTTGGTATTTTTAATGTAAGGACACCTGACCGTTGTATTTAAAGCCTTTTGGAATCCACATTTTACACTAAATATGTAGAGATATGTCCTGGGGACAGAAAAAGGCACCGTTTGGAAGTAATGACCCAGCTAGCAAGCCCAAGCAACCTCTTCTGCCTCCGTTACCAAAACTCCACCCACCGTGTTTGATTGGCAGGTCTAACACATCGAAAATGAATGAAATATCAAAATTGAGCATTGCAATTGATTTATTGAATTTGATTTATCATTATAATTTTGACAGTCTTAACCCACACAGAGTATGGAAAGTAATTATCAATTGCAATTGAGAACTCATTTTATTTTTGTCACAATTTATGCGGTCACAATAAGGAAATGAAATGGTATTTACATTTCGTTTTTAAGTGTAAGAGTGTTGCATTTACAATTGAGTGTCGGCAGCGAAATGCTTCCATAAGTATCAACAAGGGCTTACTATAAATTCTAGCTAGCTAGCAACAACATTAGTCCACCTTGCTAGTTAGTTAACATTAGCTATAGATAGCTACAGCAGGCACACGCCTGTAGAAAGCTACTGCCACATTGTGGTCTGGAGTATTTTAACGAGGCAGGCCTCAGTTATTCAGAGTGCGAATTAGATACAAAAGGATGCTAAAAGGTGAGGAAAGTTGGGAAAGTTAGAAGGATTAAATCACTATTGATTTGTAGTCTTCTGTTGTGTTTAGATGGTTCAATGTAAATGTCCAAATATCTTCCATTTAGATCTATTTTCTTATCAAAACCCAACTTGATAAAGATTTGCATGAGGGGTTTCTGAGAAAGAACCAACTAACTGCTTGAATTACAAGCAAGTCAGAAACTTTTGTAAAGTCACTACAATTTATACACTCCAAAACGTGTGAATAATGGCTGAGATCTTTTACGTATATCTAATGTAAAGATAATCCACTACCGTGAGTCATAGTATGCCATCATGAGCTTTAAGAGCTTTAAAAGCTTTTTAAATACACTCCTATGTATAAACAGAGATATAAACAAGCTTACGATTGTCAAGATAATAACTTCTATCCAGCTTTGTTTAGAGAGTTGGTAAACTAGCAATGTACAGCCCCCACACCATACTGCTGTAGCTGTGTGTGTGTGTGTGTGTGTGTGTGATGGTCCATAATGAGAGTGGAGGCCATCCACTGCTTTGGTTTTATACAACAATCAAGTTGCTGCACCTGCTGGTAAAAATGGAATCTCATTACATTCAATTATGTGGAAGAATGACGCACAACAACCCAGCACAACATGTGGAGTAGCTTATTCCCCCACAGAGCAGACACATAAACACTGATGGAGAGATAGAGAGGGAGGTGGAGGATTTGATTTGCCTAATTTATACCCTGCCTCTGACTGTATTAAAACTAGATATACTGTCACTGCCAAACATCAGCTCAGACAGACATTGTTTTCAGGCTTCAGGGGGGAGAGGGGGGCTGTCTTTGTGATTTCGTGGTTAGAAATGTGACATTCATTGTGACTGCTGATTTGTCTTCCTGCCCCCTCTCCTGCCACGTGTCACATTATGAATTGTATGTTTCTGTGTTTGTTTGAATAATTGATGAGGAGCTCCGAGAGGAACAGTAACAGTATAGAACAGTGATGCGCTGTGAAACGTGAGGTAGTGCTGTCTGTTAGTTAGGAGGGTGTGATAGCGTTGTGTTTTAGCCACAGGAGTGACATGATCCCTAACTGAAGGGCTCAACCTCTCTCACACAAGGCTGGTTTACTAGCCCATAACGTTTTAACACCTCAGTTTCTCTCTAGCAGTATGACCTATGCTGGAGCTACCACTTCAGAGGATAGTCCTCAATTGGAACGATATGCCTGCAAATTCTATTAGTCCTCTTTGGCCTACCACATAGATCAGTGTAATTCGACCATTGAGGACCATTGTTAACGATGTCATTGGTCCCTCAAGTTATAGCCACTAAAGGGCCATTCGAATCCTACAGAGGTGTTGCTATGGCTCCCATGGGAGGAGTCAGTGTGTCCAAGGGCCTCCCTCGGGAAGGAGTATTTTGCCTAATCACATCTGCCCCGAGAATAACCCATGTGCCCCCACTCCCTCACACTCGTTTACATTTTCACTCTGTATTTTTTCTTCTTCCAGGTTCCTTCAATTACCAGATCTGTGGACCATGACAAAATATTGGCGCTCAGGCAGCAGACTCAGTTCCTCTGGGATGCTTATTTTTCTTCGGTAGCAAAAATAGTATTAACTACATTAGAGGTAAGCTCTCCCATTTATAGAACTGTTCATTTGACTCGAGTGGGTGGGAGCGGGTTGGGAGGATTGCAGGGCCAGACAGCCAGCAGCCAGGATAACGGATAGCCTTTTCTATAATGTGCACAAGTGGCCAGGATGAATTGATGGTGGCTGTACAACAGCGTTCACCAACCAGGTTCTTAATTTCCCATGGTTAGTTTTTTCTTACTCCTCCTGACAGTCCGGCTCTTCCTTTGGGAGTGTTCTCACTATACTCTCTCTTCTGTCTCAGTCTCTGGGGGGAAACAGACACAAAGGGCTTTCATCAGCCTCTTCCCCAGGACAGACAGTCAGTCAGGACTTGCCATGATCAAAAGAGATTGCAGTGTAACGATTTCCTCTGGCATCTTAAATGTCTAGAGACTCTCATGGACTAGAGTACATAGACAGGTAGCTGGGGGTTCCTTAAACAAAACTCCCCCTTGTGCTATACTGCTACTATTTATTGTTGTCACACCCCGAAATATAGTGTCCCCTCAGAGCAAAGTTAAAATCATTGTCATGTTTCCCCTGGAACAATCAGAAAACCACTTTTTATGATATGATGTGTGGCGAGGAAGCCCAGGTATGAGGTGTTTTGGCCTGCAGGTATGAGAGGAAAGGTTCAGCAGGGTAACATCAGAACATTCTCATAGGCTCACTCAACATTTTGACTTTTGTCTTTTTCTTCTGGGGAAAAAGGGTTTTACTTTGGTCTGACTTTTTCAATGGGTTTTTATATTATCACACGTTCACTTATTGCTGTATCACTGACCCATTCAGAAGCTACTCTGTTATGATAGTGTTGTGAGCCCTAATTTAGAACTCACTCAACAGACACTCCAACCTGTCACCCATACGTCTTTGTCCCTATAGTGTTCATTTCACTTCTTCATTTGGAGGTTGTCCGTCTTTGTCCCTGTAGTGTTCATTTCACTTCTTCATTTGGAGGGTGTCCGTCTTTGTCCCCGTAGTGTTCATTTCACTTCTTCATTTGGAGGGTGTCCGTCTTTGTCCCCGTAGTGTTCATTTCACTTCTTCATTTGGAGGGTGTCCGTCTTTGTCCCCGTAGTGTTCATTTCACTTCTTCATTTGGAGGGTGTCCGTCTTTGTCCTTGTAGTGTTCATTTCACTTCTTCATTTGGAGGGTGTCCGTCTTTGTCCCCGTAGTGTTCATTTCACTTCTTCATTTGGAGGGTGTCCGTCTTTGTCCCCGTAGTGTTCATTTCACTTCTTCATTTGGAGGGTGTCCGTCTTTGTCCTTGTAGTGTTCATTTCACTTCTTCATTTGGAGGGTGTCCGTCTTTGTCCCTGTAGTGTTCATTTCACTTCTTCATTTGGAGGGTGTTCGTCTTTAATTTCTTTACTCCCTTTCTCTTTCCATTCAATTTACCACTTCATAAAGGAACCAATGACCAGGAGGGGTGAGGAGGAGGGGGAAAAGAGAGAAAGTGAGGAGGATATATTATAGGCATTCCGCCATGGTTCTTCAAAGGGAGCCACAGCAGCGATGAATTGGATTTGGGATTAGGGCCGAGCGTTGGTTTTATGTGTTGCCGGGCGAACGTCACCACCAGGTGCCTAGTCCAAATCCAACAGAGACTAAATTAGGCCCATCTCCATGGATATTTACCGTTGTGCAGATGTGGTAAATGCTCGGCGCTACCTGCCGACTGACAAAATGTGGGAAATTAGGCATTCTAAATAGCCCCGCAAGTGGCACACACACAGGGCTTTTGTTAAGTGCCAGCTAATTCTCCATATAGATCAAAAGGCACCTCTCATCTCAGTGTTGCTGGCACTGGACGGGCACATGGACTCTAAACTGTTTGAGGCACGTGACAAACAGGCAGACGCACCGTTAATCTGACCTGAATCTGTCAATAGGGTTTTCAGATACATTTGCCTACAATGCAGTACAAGTATAAAGACAGTCAGATGATACTGTAGCAACTCCTGTAGAAGAGAAATTCATTTTTTACTGTGCAGGTACTGTATCTTGAGCAACATAAATGAAGCTCATCACCTAGCAGTGAGTCGACCTACCGCCTCGTCTCTCTGAGGGGGTTTGCTTGTTAAGGCCTCTCTCACAACCTCATTAGGACCCACAGTTCAAACGGAGGAAGCAGCCTGGAAAGCACCAGGCTCTGAGAGGAGAGCAGCTGAGGCAAGAGAGGAGACGTACCCATATGGAGGTCTCTTGCTGTGGAGCCAAGAGCAGGGGAGCTGTAGCCTTTCTATTTCAGGACAGGCAGTGAGTCGGGTCTATTGGAAAGAGTAATCAAAAGTAGAAATGAAATGACTGTGATTAATGTTAATAAATTTGATTGAGAGGTTTGTTTTGTGTCCATTGACTCAACTAATATCAGGACCCATCTTCATGTAAAATATCCTGTGCATCATCAGTGAATCACTCTTACTGCATGACCACTGCATGCAAATAACTCCTTACAGATTAAGAAACTTTGCAAGTCATTGCTGTTCAATAAAACGGTCAGTAGAACAGTCATCATATATAGCAACATGGGACGAGGAGATACAGCTCCAATCTCCACAGTCAACATGCAGGGTAACAGTTGCACCTGGGTGAGTGGGCATCAGTCCCAGCTGAGGGTATGAGGTGTAATCTGCGTCAGCAAGACGCTGCTCGACAACATGGCCACGTCTATCAGACCCAGCCTCTTGCAGAGCGAGCAGCTTCTTTATACTAATCCTCTCTCTCTCTACTCCTCCTCCTCTCTCCTTCTCTCTGTGTTGTTTCTTTTTCTGCAGATAATCCAAGACAGAATAAATTCCCACATATCCAGGAACAAGTTGATGTGGAATTCGTTGCCTGGTGGACTGTACGTTCTGCCTCAGTTCTCCACGGACGCTGCAGTGTTCCCCTTTTATTACTCCTCGCTGGGTGAGTTGCAGCCTGTTAATAACCTGGTATTATGTGTCAGTATAACTTCTATGCATGGGAGCTGTTGGCACACAACCACAAGGGATCAGACCTCTGCTTTGTCCGTCAGGTTTTTTCCAACTCCTTGACAGAGTCAAAACTAAATTCTTCATTCACAACCAGTTCGTTGTGTAGGGCCTAATGTCAATGTGCGCTCTTCAACTCTTCCTCCATGCTGTTTTATATACCCCAGTGCTACGTATTAATACCCTCTGAGAAAATGTTGCTCATGCTAACCAACCACAGACAAATTTTACATAAATTCATGTTTGGTGACCAACCAATGCACTTTACAGCGGAAATTGTCTTGGATTTAACCTTGCAAACTAGTATATGGTATCCCATATCCTATCTGCAGTGCCATTAACTGCTGAGGGTCAAGTCCTCCCTAGTCAGTGATTAGTCGTCACTGAGATGGAACAGTGAACAGCATAAAGCCTAGTGCTTCAGCAGAGCAGTCAGTGTCTTGTGTATTTCCTCCGGCATGGAGCACCTTGGAGCTGTGCACTATGAACTGTGCTGCTGCCGCAGTCCTGCGAGGAGCACTGGGATGAAGCCATAACTCAGATGCTTGTCTTTCTCTGAGGAGTTGTGGACAGGAGGAATGGGCAGTTTGTTTTATGCTACCTCAGTAAATCAAGTTTTTGCCGGTACTGTAGGAATATCGTCGTCAATGCCGTTAATACACAGGCGTTATCAGTCTCACTTTCCATAATTCTGATAGCAAGGTAGTTCAGAAGGTTCTCGTTTTTTTATTTGCAGTGTAGGCCTATTTAAATTCTACTGACTTTGATTTACTGTTTTTGAAGCTTTTATTTGTCTCTGTAAATTTGAAGTTGATTTTACAATATTTTGTTATTATGACAGCATGTGTCGCGTATCATATTGGCTCCTCTGAGAAGTGGAAAAGAAGGAAAGATGGCAATGTTGGGCTCCTTTTCTGGGGGGTCTTGATGACTGGGTATACTGCCTCAAAATCACAAATTGGATTTCCAACTGGTTTAGTAGAGAGTCCAGCTGCTTTGGCACCTCCTATCATGTGCTTCACAGGCTGTTTGCTTCACAATCCTCTTTTAACTGTGTTTAAAGCTACTGGGAATGCCAAAGCAGTGGATAAGAATGGGAAGGTCCATTTATTGTAGAAACTGTTTGATTGTTCCCTGTAGAAACTCTGCTTGTTATCCACAGTCAACCGAACCAATTCTCATCGCCATTTGAGTTCTAATTTTGACTCATGAGATGTAATGTCTCAACTGAATTTTGTTTGAGCTGTCAATCAATCTCAATCTATAGCTTCGTTATAGCTTTTCACGAGGAAATTATATCTTGTCTAAATCCTCGGAGTAGATTGGCAGGGTACAAAAAATTATGTGAATTATCCGATCACTGCATATGCAGTTCCACACAGTCTTCTCCCATTGTGTAATGCCGATTCGGCAGTGTAGAGAAGGACTATCTCCAGGATGCTGCTAGAAGAGGAATGTTTTGTTTACCACCACCTCGTGTGAAAAGGCGGTAACACTTGCCCTCGTCACCCCACCTCTTCACTTCCCCCGGCACCTCTAATTATCTTTAAGGTTACCACGACGACTGCAGCAGCTAGATTTCCTTGAGGCTTCAGGACCCCCTAAGCTTTCTCCCCTGCAGTCATATCACTATCATTGATCCAGCCTGGCTTTCTGTTATGGTCTGGGAAAACCCTCCAAGTTGCCTCGTTTGCTGTGCATGATTGTTCCGGTTCATTGCAATCGGTGTGATTTTTTTTTTCCTTTACCCCCTAGTACAGTTTGACTTCGTTCTGTCAATATTAATGAGGTCTAGTTTCTGAGCATGTTTCAGATCACACTGAACCTTTCTAATGTCGGGTTCTAGAGCACCTTCGCTAAGGCCAGTAACCAGCATAAAGGCTAATAACCAACACAATCAATCCACAGACACAGTGACACCCCGCTTCACTAGGCCTACAGTAAGGTATTCTGCAAAGGGCAGTCTCTCAAGATAAGAGGGGCCATTATACAAGGCTCTTTTTTACAAATGTGGGAGTAAGAGCCTACTCTGCTACAGTTGTTGGTGTGTTCTTTAAGCCAGTGGAGTGGAAAGAAACTAAAGGAAACAGCAATATTGGATCAATGCTTCAACATACCTTGTTGGAGAACAGTTGGAGAAATGACTTTGATCACAGTTCTGTCAATGAAAGTAATTTCAACAATGTTTTTGTCAGTTCTGCTTGGTACATTTGCAGTTTGTTTGATTCAAACGTTTGTTTGAAGTGCCCCTAAAATTACTGCCAGAAATGACTGTGGGGTTTCCCGGAGGAAACATTTATTCTACAAAAGTGATACCAGAGTAAAATATTTTGATGACCGTATGAGAACAAGGTCCTAATGCAATACGGAATCCCTCCTTTGAAGATGATCGGCAGAGATTTTCTACAGCTTTCTTTGCTTATGCAACAATGTCTGCAAAGAATAAACCTATTCAGGCAAATGTTATGCTCACCAAATGGAGACATACAAACAGTCAGCAATCCTTGTGTGATCAGGGTCCAAAATAGGTATTCTTGAGGCACCACACAGCATCAGGGTAGATCCATAAATAGAGCCCAGTACACCAGAGAGGCCAGAGAGTCCACAGCCCTGTGTCAGAGAGATTGATAGGGGTGCTGTAAGTGCACTGTGTGTCCATTTATGCGTGATGAGGTGGAATGGATTGGAGAGTCCAGTCTCAGTCCCTTCTGAAGGTATGTGTCAGAAAGGTTAATGTCTTGAGGTGCGTGTGTGTTAAGGTGTGTGTCTGAAGGTGTGTATTAAGGTGTGCGTCTGATGGTTTGTGTTAAGGTATGTGTCTTTCTGTGTGGTTGCAGGTAAGAGCCCGTCCCAGGAGTTCACTGCTGTGATCCAGGCCGTGACTCCTCTCCAGTCTCAGCTGCAGCCCATAGTCAAGCTCGTCATCGCTGTTGCCAAATCCAAGTTCTGTGCACAGGTGAGAGCTCAGACCCATGACCCGAGAGCTAAGGCGAAACAGCAGGGATGCAGACCATAAATTTTTATACTGTTACTCGAACTCAGTGGAAGTTTATCTAATGTGACATAGCATAAAGCTTTATAGCTTTACGGCATGTCATGTCTCCCCATGCTATATTTACGCAATAAGGTCCGAGCGGGTGTGGTATATGGCCAGTATACCACTGCTAAGGGCTGTTCTTAGGTTACCTGGATATAGCCCTTAGCCGTGGTATATTGGCCATATAACACAAACCCCCGAGGTGCCTTATTGCTATTATAAACTGGTTACCACGTAATTAGAAGAGTAAAAGGAAATGTTTTGTCATACCCATAGTATACGGTCTGATATACCACAGCTTTCAGCCAATCAGCATTCAGGGCTCGAACCACCCAGTTTATTATGAACTATATATAATCAAAGTTTGCAAGAAAATACAGACTTATTTCCGCTATATATCCGCTGCTAAAAAACCAATGGCTATATCATTTACATTTTTTTACATTTTAGTCATTTAGCAGATGCTCTTATCCAGAGCGACTTACAGTTAGTGAGTGCATACATTATTTTTATTTTTTTCATACTGGCCCCCCGTGGGAATAGAACCCAGCTACATCCCTGCCGGCCATTCCCTCCCCTACCCTAGACGACGCTGGGCCAATTGTGCGCCGCCCCATGGGTCTCCCGGTCGCGGCCGGCTACAATATGTATTGTGGGGTCTATGCTCTTTGAATTGAGATTGAATTTAATTGTTTTGTTTGCAGATAATTGTGCTGTGGAATTGTGACAAGCCTTTACCTCCGAAGAGCAAGTGGCCCTCCACCACCGTGCCTATCACTGTCATTGAGGGAGAGAGAAAGGTAAGAGATTTCCTAGTTATGCGGGCGTTAAGATTGCATGTTTCGCTATCGATTTGAATGTGTTTTATTGAGTCTTAATCATTGAGGGAATGAGCATGGTTGTTAAAGTGGAACTGACACCAATACATTTCTTGGTAGTTAAAAAAATATTGCTATCAGGTTGTAAATCACAGCTGGCCTGGTACATTGTTTGCTGCCTACACCCATTCAGGATGCACTGTTTCCGTTTCAATTACTCAATATACTGGAGGGGAAAAAACAGACAAATGTAACTAAGGCTAGGAATGTCAATACAATCAAACTAGCAAGGGCAATGATCACAAGTCAGTCATAACGTGGCTAATAGGCTAGCGTATCTATTTATGTAGCTATTTATTTAGCAAGGTAAAAACACTGAGCCTAACGTTGGCTAGCTAGCTGCTGGGAGGATGTCATGTCATTGGGGGAGTGGGTGAGTGACCAACTTTCCCCTCATATTGTTTTTCGGTGGTTACAGCTAGAGGCAGCTAGTCATTTGGCTAGCTAGAAAAAAATGTGAATCGCTTTGCTAGCTAGCTAGCTAGCTACTTAGCTAGCTATGCTGAAATAGAACAACTATTATCCAGTTAGCATATCTCTTGCGTTCGTAAATTCACTCTGGCTATCTACTCTGATTTCAGAGCACTCTCGTCTGAGTGTGCCAGAGCGCAGAATAACTGATTAATTGATGAACGCGCATCACCCCCTGAATATGAGCGCTGTCAGTAAACGTAGGCAAAAAAAGTAAGATAATTACGAACGCGCTATATTTACATTTACGTCATTTAGCAGACGCTCTTATCCAGCGACTTACAAATAGGTGCATTCACCTTATAGCCAGTGGGATAACCACTTTACAATGTTTTATTTTTTTTTGGGGGGGGGGGGGGGGGGGGTAGAAGGATTACTTTATCCTATCCCAGGTATTCCTTAAAGAGGTGGGGTTTCAAATGTCTCCGGAAGGTGGTGAGTGACTCCGCTGTCCTGGCGTCGTGAGGGAGCTTGTTCCACCATTGGGGTGCCAGAGCAGCGAACAGTTTTGACTGGGCTGAGCGGGAACTATGCTTCCGCAGAGGTAGGGAAGCCAGCAGGCCAGAGGTGGATGAACGCAGTGCCCTCGTTTGGGTGTAGGGACTGATCAGAGCCTGAAGGTACGGAGGTGCCGTTCCCCTCACAGCTCCGTAGGCAAGCACCACGGTCTTGTAGCAGATGCGAGCTTCAACTGGAAGCCAGTGGAGTGTGCGGAGGAGCGGGGTGACGTGAGATAACTTGGGAAGGTTGAACACCAGACGGGCTGCGGCATTCTGGATGAGTTGTAGGGGTTTAATGGCACAGGCAGGGAGCCCGGCCAACAGCGAGTTGCAGTAATCCAGACGGGAGATGACAAGTGCCTGGATTAGGACCTGTGCCGCTTCCTGTGTAAGGCAGGGTCGTACTCTCCGAATTTTGTAGAGCATGAACCTACAGGATCGGGTCACCGCCTTGATGTTAGCGGAGAACGACAGGGTGTTGTCCAGGGTCACGCCAAGGCTCTTCGCACTCTGGGAGGAGGACACAATGGAGTTGTCAACCGTGATGGCGAGATCATGGAACGGGCAGTCCTTCCCCGGGAGGAAGAGCAGCTCCGTCTTGCCGAGGTTCAGCTTGAGGTGGTGATCTGTCATCCATACTGATATGTCTGCCAGACATGCAGAGATGCGATTCGCCACCTGGTTATCAGAAGGGGGAAAGGAGAAGATTAGTTGTGTGTCGTCAGCGTAGCAATGATAGGAGAGGCCATGTGAGGATATGACAGAGCCAAGTGACTTGGTGTAAGCAGCCTAACCAGCTCTTCTAGGGCGAGTAAAATGGTCAGAGGTGTTCTCTCATTTGTGTCTGTAAGTAGCTAGCAAGCTAGCTAACTTTAGCCAGTTAGCTTGGGTGCTTGACTGCGAAATGCTCTGAATTTACGAACAGACAATCTGACAGCACTCTGAATTTACGAACAACCCAGAACGCACTCTGACACACTGGAGGCAATTTATGAACGCACCCTGAGCTAGTTGTCAATCAAATGTATTTGGCATTGATCAAATGAGTGGGCAGGCAGGCAAGTTCCTGGTCAGTTCTCAAAACGTGGGTTGGGAGAAGCATGCATTGGCAGGCAAGCTGCAGAAGGACGAGCAGGCTACCATTCCCCATCGTTTATCGGTGCAATTTTGACGGTCAACTAGCTGAAAAAGTTTGAGAGTGTTTATCTAATGTTCCCTCGTTAGATTTTAGCTCATCTCGCTCTGGCTAGCATTAGTTGTTGATCTTGTTGTTGTTGATGTGCATAACTGAGGGAGAGAGAGCCCTTATCATGGTTGTTTGATGAATAGGACTGTAAACTTCCCAAATGTAAAAGGACTCCCGTGGTATTTACATATTTGCAGAAATCCATTCAGGTGTATTTTGAAGCTTTTGGCGAATGCGTTCTAATGATCTAAAGTCATTCTGTTGCTACTGCCTGTAACCACACAGTCCAGTTCAAAGTGAATGATGACAGGCCCATGTGGCAAATTGCTTATTTGCATAAAGGCCTACTGTAGCTCTGATTGGCTATGGCTCACCGTTCTGCGTAGACTCCGGTCCTTGACGAAACAGATGTTTTTATTAGGTTTTATTGCTATACAATTTTCACAAATGCCAAACATTCTAAGAATTTATGAAAATGTCAAAATGACCATATCTAAGTGCCCGCTTGTCAGAAAATGTAAAAGGAAAAAATGTGTCATATTCTTCCTGGGTGTGTATATGAACAGATTTTAATATGTTTTCATGTTGCTAAAACTCTGTCAGTTCCACTTTAAAGTCAGGGGAGATAAAATCCTTTCAAGCTTTTCTTTCATTTGTCCTTTTTGGAACTGGATCTGACTCCTGGGATCTGAGCTTAGCTTACCCTGACTGTTGAGCCATGAAGCAGCTTGATGCTGCTTCCAGGAGTGTTCCAGGCGCACTCTGGATAAAACACCGGTCCATCACAAGGCCATTACTGTGCCAAGCTCAGCTGAATCATTTTAGTAATGCTGTAGGTACCACTTTGCAGTGATGTTCTTATGAGCTTTTAAAACAATAGGAGTTAGTACACCAGACATCATACTTCCAAAGAGGACAAATGCTCTTACTGAATGCAAGCATCTTAAACACAGTAATGCGGTTTCAATATAACTATTCTGATGAAACGATATTGCGCTGATTTGATACAGTATGAATTCTTCCAATCCTTCATTGAGTCCAAATAATCACTCCGATTGTGTTATTTGGAGCGTTCCATTCACTTAAAGAGAGTGTTCACCCAAATTACACAATTTCCATGCTTTCCTTACCCTGTAAGCAGTAAATTGACAAGTTATGACAGCAATCCATGCTTTGGTTTAGTTTCCCTGGCACTGTTTCCAAATGCTAACATTTTAGCGTTTGTAGTACAAATCCCATTCAAGTCATAGGACTGATATTAGAATTTTTCATGCGTCATGTCCAAATCATTCGAAAGTATCTAAAATTGATTGTGAAGATCAACAGAGTCACTTATAGATGATTTGAACATGATGCGCAAAAAATACTAGTATCGGTCCCATGACATAAAATGGGATTTGTACCACAAATGCTAAAACGTTAGCATTTGGAAACAGTGCCAGCCATGGAAACTAAACCAAAGCATGGATTGCTGTCATACCTTGTCTATAGACTGCTTACAAGGTAAGGAAACCAATGTGTCCTTTTGCAGTTTGGGTGAACTATCCCTTTAATTTCTGGCTTCATAAATATCTCCTACTCAAAGCCAAAGTGGAATTCCAATCAGCAGTGTCATGCTTGCTGCTTACCACAGAATTCAGTCAAATCTCTCTCACACACACACAGGCACACACTACTCAGTTTTTCCATAACCCGCAGCAGCCCAGCTGTTGTCCTAACACAGGGGCAGTGCTGACTGCAGCCCTCTCCGTGCCGCCCCATTGAGGCAGGAGCAGGACCCTAAAACCCAATGGCAGATCCCTTAATTGATACTGTTTGTTCTCATGTAGTAAACGCGGCAATGGTAAAAATGTGTTCCCATTATAACAATAAACAGCTTTTCTA